TCAGTACAAATATTTAATAAAAATATGATGCAATACTCACTGAATGTTTTTGGATTTAATTTCATCGTGATATCCCAACATGCGATACCGTTTCTGTTAACTTGAGTAAAATAATCGATACATGTTTTCGGATCAATAATAGAAGATGGCCCTTGAGTCAATGGTCCCTTGGTACCAACAATATGGAAATTATTATAGACTTCCGATTTTCTCAATCCTCTATCCTTTAGAACATCTGTTGGTACGGAAAATTCCGTGATACCAGACATGGAATGGAAATAGAGCATTTTATTCCCGTCAGTATAAATCGGTGACAGCGACATTCCAAAAACACCGTCAGTCCATTGGAAATTATAACCGCTTACATTGTAATCACCTATCAAAAATTATTGTTTAGAAATATAGTCAAACATATCACGAGACAATAAGATAAATTTTTATGAGGGAAAATCTTTTTCGGCCTTAAAAATGGCCAAATTATATTTTTCATTAACAATATCATCCTCGCGTTAAAAAAAATATATAATATATAATTCTCTTTTGAAATATGTACATTACCGTTCAACGGATCAAAATGGAAGAAGTGATGATTAATCCGCCAAGAATCATTCTGTTCCCAGCTATATACCACTATGCCATATTCGCTGAAGTCGCTCATATACGCGTACGCTTTGTCGCATTGTCCAGGTGCAACATCAACTACAAGGTCGGCAATAAAACTATCTGGCTTTAAATCCGATTCTTTCAAAGAATATTTGCGTATAATCTGCAACATATATGCGGTCAAATCAGACAATTTGCGGCATAAATTCGAGACATATATGAAAACATTGATTTTTAAAATTAATGTCAATTGTATAAATACATGATTTTTAATAAATTATACCATGTTTGTTTTTAAATCGATAACAATAAGTCTCATCGGTCGTACGACTTTGGTATCTCCCAAAATATCGTTTACTCCTGTGTCTAGACCCCACATGCGATCGCAGCTATCGATTCTGACCCGGAATATGCTTACGAGACCATCAGATGAATTAATGTTGTTTGCTTCAAGATCGGGATACGGTGTTAAGACTGGACTATCTATACAAATAATTAAAGATTATATACACTCTTTATCAAATAACGTATTTTGAAAGATTTCTTCGTCGTGTACGTGATATTTGCATGTATTACTCGCACATATAAAATCTTAATTTAAAAGATTTCTTTTATTAAAAAAAAAAAGTAATTTTTTATATAATGTATAACGAATTGTTATATAAGAAAATTGTTTCAATGTGTACATTGCATTCTCTTTCTCTCTTTTTCTCTCTCCCCTCTCCCCACTTCTTGCCATTCACAAGGTTTAAAATAAACATATGACTCTAGTATCACATGCATTATGAAATTCATTTATGATATAAAACAAATGTACATATTTTATTAAACTTTGTCAAGTTATATTAACTTACGTTTGTTGTCGTCCATTGAAAAGCTGTTTAAAGTGGCTAAAACACCTTTTTTCCATCGCGGTACCGTGACAAACATTTTTTTGTGCCAAATGGCCAAACCTAATGGCATGTTATTCTCTGGAATGTAATCGCCGGAAGCTATATACTCGTTTCGGACGGTATCATTTGGAAATTCGAATTCGATCTGCCTCCATGAATAAACAGTATTGAAGGTATGACCAGTTGTCATGGTCAGGCAGGTTGTCAGGCAGATCAAAACCAGCAAGTGGAACATATCTACAAAGAATTCTATGATTCTGTGATTCCATTGATTCTCATATTAGTCTTGATTATTGTAAACATTTATAATTTTCGGCTGATACAGTCTAGATTAATGCGAGATTGCAAACAGTACGTAATTGATAACTAATAAAATAATAACACTCTACACTTTTATCAATTCTAATACAAAATTAAATATTATATAATTGTGTGTGTAATACATTATAGTCATAATATGATCAAACGACGATAGTCACTCTTAGAAATATTGAATAAAAAAAATACAACAAAAATACTCAGTAGATAATTTAATCGTTTACATGTCATCGTAAGATATATCATTAGTATGAAGAGAAGATAATTATATGATAATTTGATGATGATTTCCAATTTATGATTTCCAATAATAATTATAATTTATTGAAAAATACACACATATACGTATTAGAACCAGGAAACACATCGATATTTATTCTTTGTTCGAGAGTTTCTCAATAGATACAATACATAATACGTAATTTTGGGAAACACAATAGACAGCCTTGAATAAATCTGATACTTTTATAACTAGTATGAGTATAGCAGAAATTTCAAATAGCTTAGATCTATTTTATTTATAAAATACCAAAAAAGAAAAAAGCATATTTATAAAATATTTTGAGTTGTTGAATACATGTATTGTCAGTGTTATATAATTAATGAACAATAATTGTTAAGAAATCTACAACACAATATTTGCAAACAAATTAATATAATAAGAATATAATATAACAAAATATGTTAATGACAATTGCATTGTAATGATTTATCTTATTGTATTCAATTACTTAGCATTATTTTATAATTATTTAATAATAAACAATTTTTTTATTAATGATATGTAACCGTGATTTATTGTTTACATTTTATTAATTTAATCTAGCATATTGATTCAGAACTTGTGGAATGTCAATGTCAACAACGTATTGATAAAGTAAAGCAGTGTTCCAATACTTTTGCCATATTCCCCACGGCAATATTTAAATTAAAGCAACTTCTTTTTAAAAACAGGATTTACAGGTTTTCTCATCCTAATTTTTGCATCGCAAAATTAGCTTGTAAAAGCTAATTTTAGCAGCATAAATTATATTTAAATTATAAGCATTTGAAAATGCAGAATTATTTACAAAATTAAGTTTTTCAGAAGAACTAAACTGTAATACTTGACTTATCTAATAGTAATTCATTTTATTTAAATAGAAATTTATAGAAATAATTAATTATATAATAATTTTTATTATTAAATTTTGTCATAATATGAGAAAAGATAGCTTTATTATATTTTAATTACAATTACATTATACATTAGACAATTACATTATACATATGATTTTGTAAAATATGAAAATATAAAAGAGCGATATTTTTATCATTACATATCATCATTACATATCATTACATATCATTACATATTATCATTACATATCATTTACATTTAAGACATAATACAATTAGATAGTTTCTTTTGATTTTACTTACAATGTAGACTTGATTGCAAATATTAAGATAAACTTTACAGAATTTTATAAAAAAGTTTGTTATGCAACTAAAGAAAATTAATTTTTTTCCAATAAAAATCAATACGGAATAAATTTTGCATTTTCAAAAATTGATTAAAGACAAATTACTATTTCAAATATATAGAAAAACAGGATGATTTTTAGATAATTAATAAAATACTCACTGCTTGAACAGATAGAGTAGTCTTCTGTCGAATGATGCGGGATAGAATGACAGTATATAATACGGTGTTACTGGCTTTTATACGCTTTTATATTCTTCCTGTCATAAATACCGGTGACTTTACGATAAAAAAATGTTTTTTGATAACAAATAAAATGTTGGGAAAATGTAATCTAATCTTTATACAAATAAATTAACAACAAAACTATGTATACGTCTTTGAATAGTTTAATTTTGAATAGTTTTTGAAATAGAAATTAATTGCTTCTCTTGACATATTTTTCTATTTACGCTAATTTTGTGTAATGGAATTCCCTTTTTCTATTAATAAATTAATAGATAAATAAATTGTTACATGACTTATTTACAAAGACAAAATATATATTTAATTAAACTATTGTTTTATTAACAAGTCAAAATTGAAATAAGCGATATTTTATAAATCCATTTTAATATAAAGTTAATGAATTATATACGCGCGCGCGCGCGTGTGTGTGTGTGTGTGTGTGTGTGTGTGTGTGTGTGTGTGTGTGTGTGTGTGTGTGTGTGTGTGTGTGTGTAATTCATTAACTTTATATTAAAAATATATTATTTTTAATATAACTTTAAAGATATTACTACTAGATAACAATAGATAATTATTTTTATAGCTAATATTACGAGGATAACAATGGTACATTCAAAATTTTAAGTAAATACTAAAAATCCTGATTTATTAAAGCAAAACAATTTTCGATCAAATTTTTAAATTAGATCACTAATACTCAAGCATGATTTAATTCCTTTAATGAGAATTTAATGAAATTGACTTGCACAAATTAAAATCATATTCTAAGGTAATTTTCTATTATCTTAATTAGTAAAATTAATTATTTTTTTCTTTATTGCATCGATAATTATGATTGTAACTGCATCCGCATGTTGTTTGAAGGTTATTTGTAGTTTCCAAACCAAAAGATCATAGATACAATAACATGACAATTGTAAATTATTCACGATTTGCTTAATTGCGCATGTTGAATGGAGGAATTATCTCGCGCGTAAAGCGTTATTCTATTATACAACAAACATAAATGTTTCTAAGAACTATCTACTCCGAAGGAAAAGTTTGAAAAATAAATCTTGCATAATATTTGTTACAAATAAGATATTCATTTTTATGCTTTTTTGTTTATATTTATAACATATTATATGCAAGGAAATGAAAGTCATTGATATTAATATAAAATATTTGCATGATAACAGGCAGAATGAAGAGAAGTAGAATATTGTCGATTTCATATATTTAATAAATAAGAAAAATACTTTTCTTATAAAAAAGCATTTCAATTTATATACATTTAGTAAAATATCTTACAATACAACTAGATATATTTATTCGTTTGGCAGTAAAAATTTAATTATACTATTTGCTAAGTTTCGAATTTGAATTTCTTGGAAAATGGAATAGTACAATTATGTATTAAATATTCTTTCTAAAAATATTTTTTATTGTTTATATACTTTCTAAGATATCAAGTTTAAATTATATCATATAATAATATCATGAAAAATATGAATTAGCAATGTGATAAAATGAAGGATTTTAGAATTTGTTAATAAAGTAATGAAATAAATAGAACTTCTAAATATGTGCATAAGAGATTGAATACATGGATCATAATCAACAGCATTCGTGTTATTACAATTTGATAATGTATGCGTGTGCACACGTGTATGCTTTGCACGTAGAAATATACAAGACATCGTTATGACGGCAGTTTTTCTTTAGAATGTCCCCTCTGCTTCGAAATCTCCATGTTTCTCTTTTGTTTTACGTTTCCTACACATATAAAAAAATATATTTTATGATTCAGGTTACATTAGAATTATATTTGGATATCCTAAGATAATTTCTAGCTTTATGTCTAGCTTTATTTCTAGCTATATTTGTATTTTATATATAAACATTTATATATAAATGTTTATTAAATATTTATTAAATTATTTTTTTAATAATTTATACATACAAAATGCAAAGAATTTTCTAGATATTTCTAATTTTAACACAATTGTTTGTTTTGTTTGTATTATTTATAATACAATGAAATTTTTTTTTATATAGAATTTAATAACGCATAAAAAAATTAATACTCATCTACACATGTGTATATGCACACACACACACACACAC